TTAATGAATTTCTAGTGGAGATCTGAAGGCATTTAAAACTTCTGTATTGTGGAATTGACAGCGCAGTGTCTCTGCTTCTGTCCTCCCAGAGATTGCCCTAGTGACCAGCAAGCCTGAGAAAGTCGCTCCTTCACGTCAGGATATATTCCAAGGTATGGGAGAAAATCAGTGGATCTCTAGTGCTTGAAGTGTTGGGAAGAGGCCTTGTTTTGCCACAGGACAGGCAGGAGTGATGAGCGTGCCTGTCGTAAAGTCTCTGTCGTCTTTTTCTCCTTTCGGCACAGAACAACTGGCGGCCATTCCTGAGTTTAAGAACCTGGGTCCATTATTCAAGTCTTCAGAACCAGTGCAGCTCACAGAAGCAGAAACGGAGTATTTTGTTCGTTGCATTAAACACATGTTCACAAACCACATAGTTTTCCAGGTAAGAAAAGATAGGCTCTTTTGCCAGGCTCCCGTAGGAGCTGACCCTTAATATGTTCCACAGGTAGCATAAACAAAATTGTCATAGTGCCCTGGAGAGGAGAGAGCTTCTCTGTAAGGGAGTTGCACGCAAGAGGATGGGCGATGTGATCCCATCTGTTAAGAGAATTCTAGTAAAATCGGAAAGAGAAACTGTTCAGCGAGAAGGGCAGGGTTGGATCAAAGGAGTGGGATGTCTGCCATGTGCAGTGAAGTATTGTAGCTGATCCTGGGAAAATTCTTGAGGAGAAACGTTTCTTCTATGCTGAAATCCTTCTGAATTTCTTTTTTTATTTATTTATTCTGCAGTTTGACTGCACAAACACGTTAAATGATCAGTTGTTAGAGAGAGTCACTGTGCAGATGGAGCCGTCGGATGCTTACGATGTGATTTGTTGCATCCCAGCATCCAGCCTTGCTTACAACCAGCCGGGCATGTGTTACACGCTTGTCCAGTTGCCCCAGGATGATCCTACTGCAGGTAATAATTGGGAGGAAATCATTCTATGTGAGAAATCCCTCAAATGAATTTTTTTCAATAACAGATATGTTTAGGGTGTGGCATTTGAGTGGATATTGAGGTCCTAGCACTTTCTTGTGTGTCACACTCACTAGTTTTTATGTAGGACCTGTTTTTGTGCAGCATATTACGTGTATACTTTTTAACTGAAGGGCATTGGTTGACTTAAAATGAGATATACAAGAAAAAGGGAGATTATGCAGATAGTTAGAGGAAACTGAATTTGTTACCTTGAGCCAGTGAAATCGGCACATTTGAAAACATGGACGTTTGGTAGTTCTCAGGAACAGAATCTGTAAAAGGAAAATGCAAGTGAAAATACTGATTGGTAGTTTGGGCCTCTACATGAAGAAGAAGAAGAAAAGAAAAAATTGACTAATGTAATTTTCGCCCTCTCTGGAGAGTTGAAATGAGTACGAAACTCAGGAATGAGAGGTTTTCTTTAGGGCGAGAAAGTAGGGGTTGGGGTTTTTCATGGGTAGTTTTTGTTTGTTTGTTTTGGGGTTTTTATTTGCTTTTATTATCTGCACTTCAACTCCAGTGGATTTGGAGTTGGTTTAACATGACTTGGTTTGTCAGTGAGTTGGGTTCCTTGGTTATTGCTTTAATGCCAGAGAAGATTAGAACTACTTTGAATTTGCTGGACTGTGGCTTTGGATCATAATCCACTCGACAGAAAACCCTGCAGAGTTTCTCCTGGTGACTGCTGCTGACTGGATCGTGCCGCAGCATTCTGCGAAGCAGCAGACCTTATGCTTATTACACTATGGCCCTGGCATACTCTTCCCCTGAAGGCCAAAGGAGGCTTTTATATTAGAGTCTGGGGGAATTTTATGTGAAGCAGAAAAGTGCTGCAACCTCTGCTATGTCTTTATCTTTCAGGAGAAAAAGCAAATATATACCCTTCCCACCGTTTTTTTTTTTTTTGGAGAAGCGAGGGCTTAAGCAGAGGAAACTACCGCTGACCTATATGTGCTTTTCCTCTCCTCCCCAGTTGCTTGTACTTTCAGTTGTACTATGAAGTTCACCGTTCGAGACTGTGACCCAAACACAGGCGTGCCAGAAGAGGACGGCTATGATGATGAATATGTGGTAAGATAGGACCATTCATGTTTTTGGGTTGTTTTTTTTTTTTCCCCTTTCTGCTGTAATTCTGAATACGTGGCCATTGGGTTGACAGTTTCCTCTCCATTGTATTGCCCTAGTTTCCTTTCAGGTCTGAAGCCCGTAGGGGAGAGTGGGAGGACTGCCTGAAACAACATTTCCAAAATACGCTAGCTTTAGACTGTATGTCTTATTTAGATCCTTCCCAAAAAAACTTGCTTCTGCAAAAAGCTGGCATAGCTTGAGCATCCTATGGAGTTAGGAATTGTGGGGATACAGGAAGGAAGGAATAATTTCCATGGTCTCTTTTCACAGCTGTGACCCACTCTTTCTTCCACCCCAAGCATTTGCACTTCTGTGTACGGTTTTGACGTCACCAGTCGCTGAAATGCGAATCATCTCAGGAAGGTGCCTATCTCTTGGGGGTGTGCCAAAGACTATAGCTTCCTGGGTTTGAGGGAAGTAAGGGTTGTGTCTGCCTTTTGGGAAAGTCTCTCTCCTTAGATGTCCAGTGAGGGCTAGAACGGGCTTTGACTTGCTGAGTAATTGCCGTATTTCCTGCTCTCCTTTGGTCTCACTGACGTTTTTGTGTAAATGTTTTAAGCTTTGCAGATGACCATCATAAATGCTATTTTTCTTCTGTGCTTTTTAGATATTGTTAGTATACGCTTCTCCCGAAATTAAAGCCTAGCAAGCCAGAGTTGTTTTGGCAAAATGCTGCTGACCCTCCTTGTTTCTTTTCCTTTTTCTAAGATTAGAATTCTTTATGTAACTAGTAGCTGAAAATCTCCCTTGCTTTCTGCCAGTTGGAAGATTTGGAGGTGACAGTATCTGATCATATTCAGAAGGTCTTAAAGCCTAACTTTGCAGCTGCCTGGGAAGAAGTAGGAGATGACTTTGAGAAAGAAGAAACCTTTGCGCTCAGTTCAATTAAAACCCTTGATGGTGAGCTGATCTCTCCTCCTTGCTTGTTGGTGACCCACATAGTAATCCTTGCTAATTCTTCCACGCTGGAGAAATACTTACTGTGGTAGGAGGAGAATCTGATGCCTTCTAGCGTAACGTTATGTCCCAGCAATGAGGCTCTGTGTTGCAACGTGGGGTTGTAGTGACTGGGAACTTGGCAGCGCTCTCTTGCCGAGACTGGTTGTGGGGCAGGATGTACTCCTAGGCTGTTACGGCGGTAAAGGGACATCACGAGGTAGGTGTGTTGGTGGGGCTGCCACTGGGATAGCAAATGGAAACGGTTAAGCTGTGTGGGTGCTTAGAGTATGTTCTTTAACTGTGAATTAGTTCTGGCAGAAAGCTTGGCATCAACCTGGAGATAATGGTCATCTTATGTCTCTGAATGCAGAAGCTGTCAGTAACATCATCAAGTTCTTGGGCATGCAGCCATGTGAGAGATCAGATAAAGTGCCAGAGAACAAAAATTCTCACACGCTCTACTTAGCAGGTATGTATTCACACTATTGCACTCAGTGTTTCCATGGCCCCACGCAGGCAGATTTTTGTACTAAATGAAGGGAAGTGGGTTAAGGGACTCTATCCTTGAACAGAGAGCATTTTCCTGTAGAAAGCTGAGGTGGACCAGCAAGCTAAATGCAGCAGGTGCTGATTTGGAGTGTGCTGTTTTAAGTGTATGCAGGCTAGGCTCTGCTTCTCTCAGGATGGAGGCCGCCTGCTTGAGGGGAAGGGTACTGAATCCTGTGAATGGAGTGGCTTCCAGAGATGATGTTCCAACTAAATTCCCTGCAAGTTGCTATCTCAGTAGGCGATTCCTAAGGCTGTTTTGTTTTCAAGTTCCTGTCACCAAAAACATCTCCTAAATAGACCTGCAGTTCCCAGAACTCTTTTCTGGTAACTGTGGTCCAGGCTCACAGTTCTGGCAATCCCTGGAAATGTGAACGCTCTACAAAACTCTGTTTCAGCTGTTAAAGCAAAACTGCAGTGAACGTGGTGCGTTGTGGTCTGACAGAGGGGTCAGATCTCATGTTTATTTCAGGTGCAGAACTGTTAACTCCAAGAGTCTCTGCATAGCAATCTCTGCGTTGTGCTGGAGTCCTCACCTGTAGATGGCTCATCCTGCAGTCTGAACTGCCTCCAAGAGCATCTTTTCCAAGTGCCTGTCCTTCCCTTATGACAAGGGCGTTGAGCCAATGGACTTTGCCTTCAAGGCAGAAATACAATGTTTGTTGCGTCCTCAAACTGGAAGTGAGCTTCAGTTATTTGCTTTCTGGTTCATGCCTATTAAATCTTCCTAGCCCTCTAGCAGTGCCTGCTGACTTTGGCTGTCTAATTAGGACCGTATCTATTTTCACTTGTAGCCTCAAGTGTTTAGTAGATATTTTTTGTGTGTGTGTGTAATTTCCCCCCTCCCTGCAACCGGCCATAGATGGAATCTGTTTTGGTTCGCCAGAGGTAGTTGGCTTCTGGGTTGGGGCTGGATCACTAACTGAGCCTATCTGCCGTTACAGTAACGTGCCAAATCTTGCTTTGTCCCCAGGTGTGTACAGAGGTGGCTACGACGTGCTGGTAAGATCCAGGCTTGCGCTAGGAGATGGAGTGACCATGCAGGTGACGGTTAGGAGCAAGGAGGAAACGCCTGTAGATGTCATCCTGGCTTCTGTAGGCTAAGTGTTACAGCGCATCAACTGCGGTGGGAATATCCTAGGAAACACTGGCTGGGTATCTACCAGATATCACGCAGCCTGTCCGTCCTGCATGTAGATTTTATTCCTCAATTTGGTAAATATTTTGTATGATTTTACAGTAGTGGCTGGCTGATACTGAGCCTTTTCCGTGTCCCTTCCCTTATTGTCATTTACACATTCCGGTCTAACTTATTGCATCTCTGGCCACTTGCAATAGAGCAGGCAAGATATAAGATGTGGTAGATGGTAAGAAAACACGATCGAACTTTGTCAAAAATGATTTTTATTAACAGAAAATAAACATTGATCCCAGTGGTGGAATCCCTATGAATTACTGTTAATAAAATAGAAATTTCTTGTTGTAATTCTGTCTGCTTCCAAATCTTCCGTACACAAAAAGTAGCCCATAGTGGCTGTTCACTCAGCAGAAGCCCCTTATTCCTAGGAGATGCTACTACATTCAAAGCATAAGCAGTTAAAAACACACAAAACTTGCAGAGTCTGCCAGCTTGTACATTTACAACCACTGTCATGATGATTGTCTCCTCTGTATCACAATGTATGGAGAGAAATTAAACTTACTCTCTAATGGTACATTAATTTTGTACTTTGGAACAACAGTTGTGACCCTTACCTCAGATGTTACCAAGCAACAGTGCAGCCCTTTTCCTGGACTCAAAGCTGTGAAAACATCCTGTAGCAAAAGCACTGCGGGGTGGGGGGGAGAGGTCAGGAAGAGATGGGGAAAGAAGGATCTTGCGCTAACTTCTGTGTGAAGGAAGTTCTGATATGTAGCATCTCTCTGATGAACTGGTGCTTCTTTAGAATATAAAGTCAAGGGTGTGGGAGAATACTATTTTTATGATAATCCCTGTGGCTTGAAAAGCTACTGCTCAGAAGAACCCTCTGGCTTTTGCCATTGCCAGTATTGCATATTCAGCGTACTCTCATGAAATGGATAAAGGAGCTCGCCCTGGTAGAAACAGCAGAGCTTCAGGAAAGCTCCTGAGACTTTCCCAAGGGTGACGCGTCAGTGAATTGCTCTGCTTGGTTTACCGTGTATGGAACTGAAAATAACAGAAACAAGGGCTGTGGGTAAAGGCATGCTTTTTAGAGCTTGCCTACAAGTAATTGGCCGTTCAAAAGCAATTGCTGAAGGCATAATTATGCTGCTTAAATGCCCCACTCCAGGTGCAGCTACAGTGTTACAGCTCCAGCTCTTCTGCTGAATTTGATGCATACAAGCTCAGAGAGAGTTTCAAAATCCATCCGTCCTGACAAGCTAGTCATGTTTTATAACACTTACCACAGGGGTATAATTTAAACTGTCTATGCAATAACTCAGTTCAAATACAGAAAAACATCTGATGTGCATCTCGGAAATCCTCTCATCAACAAAGTTGATAATGGTCCTGTCTACCTGTGGTGAGCAGGATAGCTTAGTGCTGAAGGCAACACAGGACCTTTGGACTGACATATGTACTCTGCCTCCCCTCAGGTGTGTCTGTTCCTCGAGCCCTCCTTTCCCTCGGGCCCGAAATACAGAGACAGGCAAGTCAAGAAGCAAGGGCAGTGCAGGGCTGGAAGTGCTGTCAGCAGCCCGTGACTTTACTTCTGCTGACAGTTTTGTCCATGCCTTCCTGGAGGCTAATCTTTTCCGGAGCTCAAAGAATTTAACTGCATACCTGGAGACAAAGAGTTTGCCAGCCAAAGGTTTAGGTTCTTAGTACAGGGTATTGGATCTGGAAATAAATCAAGGTTTCTCCTTGCCCCCAAAGCCGGACTCCTAAACAGAGAGAAACAACTGAGCTGAAGCAGCTCAGAAGGAGTTGATGAAGTTGAGATATGCATTCAGGAAGCCTGTCGGATCCTCCAGCTGGGGGTAGTGGCTAATGTGGTCGTCCAGCACAGACACTGTGGACGTGGGAAGCACCTTCCTGTTGGAAGAATGCAGCAAGGCTTAAGCACAGGAACTGCAGCGGGCTCGGCCCAAAGCCAGCCAGGTTCTCCCGGTGGAGGGACGGTGCCCCTCCAGCTTCAGCAACACTGCTGGTGGCTAATTCAAGTTACCCATCTCAGCACGGACCCTGTTGGCCTGCATGCTGACGCACTAGCTGTTTTTCTGCTAGATACCTTTCTAAATGATGGTTGTCTTGATCACAGTCGTAACAGGGCTGAATTACATCTCGTCGTCTATAGAGTATTGTAGAAAGTGCAAGTAGGGCTTAGGCTAACTAGCTCTTACTCAGATTTTTGCTTTGACATCTGAGAAGTATCCACAAGTCCTTTAAAATGCTTGAATGTGAAGTATGTTGTGGGAGTGTAAAGCCAGCTCTTTTAGATCTTACTAAAAGCATCTCCACTTTGGAAGAACAGAGCAGTTCTTTCAATGGATAAGTCAGGTTGAAGGTCGTTATATTGCTAATAGTGAAAAATAATCACTTGCATGGTTAAGATTCTGCCTGTAACGTAGTCTTGCCACAAAAACCCGTAGCAGCTACAGCTGAACCCTTTTCCATGTGCTGGACTTACTTTAGGGTAGTTTGGAGGAAAAGACTACCTAGGTGTTTCTCAATAAATCTTAACGCTATCTGATGTTATGGTTTTCAAATGCATGATAAGACAAGACTGAGGATTGTGACTCATGCCTAAAACTGGGTAGCAATTTCTGAATTGCAGGGGGCTCCTACTGAATCACCTGGCTGTGGAGGTTACCGGTGGGAAGAAAACCCAGCCTCGAATGGAAAGGGAATTGAAGAAAAGGTCCGAGACCAAATCTCCCTTGAAATGAACCCCCAGTTGTCTATTCCCACTCTGTGGCAGCATTATCTTACTTGTAACCCCCCAGTTGTCTATTCCCACTCTGTGGCAGCATTATCTTACTTGTAAAGCTGAAGAAACTCTGGGTGTGGATTCACGGGGTCCAAGGGCCCATAGATGAGATGCACTGCAAGAGAGAAGCACAAATACAGCCTTTATACCCAAGGGCATCTCTAAACTTGGCCAAAGAGGGAGAGAGGAGGCTTCTTCCTGAAGAAGTATAAGGCAGAGCTGAACTTGTCCCTCATCCATGGAGCTTGGGAAGCTTTCGGCAGAGCACTGAGCACAGTCTAGCTCAGCGCCCTGGTGTGCACTGTCCAGGCCAGCAAAAAGGCTCACGTTTCTCTGCCCTTGAGTCACATTCAGCCTCTAGACCTCCTCCTGCTCTCAGCACACGTGAAATCTTGCCTTGCCTGTTTTCTTTTTCTCTTGAGCTTGGAAAATGCTTCAGCTTCCCTAGGGCAGCACTTTGAGAAACCCAAGGCAGCTGCTGTGAATCGGCCTCTAAAGGAAAGTTACCCTGCCCAGTGGAGCAAACCCTTGGTCCTTCTGTCTCTGCCTCTTACTCGCCTGAACAAGTTCATACCTCACTACTACAAATGAGCTGTAAACTGGAGTAAGGAAGCTTGTGGAGCTAGCTGCTGCCCAAAACAGATCTGGGCTACGTCATCCCTCATCAGAAAGGCGAGAGGCTCAAGTAATCAGTGCAAGAAGCCAGAACGGCGCTTCAAAAGCGGGGTTAGCACAGTATGTTCCTGAACAAAGCCTGCTCCAGCTTCCTGCTCCAGGAAGATGTTAAATTGCAGTAGAGCGAAGAGGCCTTTGGACCTGGCAGCCCCAAGAGGGCAGAAATGACTGTGTAGAGAGAAACAGTAATACTGCAAGGGACAAGCAGCCCTGCAGGTAGGTGTCTCCTGAACTGTCAGGCTCACGAGCCTGCCTGGTCTGTTTGAAACTGGGCCTGCTGCTGTGTCTTGGTGCCTGCAGGTGAGGAGAGGGATTCCCTACATCCCAGCTAGTAAATCAAAGAAAACTGTTTCCTACTCACGTGGGACAGAAGTGGACATCAGAGCCCCAACCCAGCGGTCTCTGTGCTTCTTTCTCTGGTTTATGTACTGTAAAATACTGAATAGAAGCCTGTTGTTACACAGCTGGCTTGGGAAAGGGGGGCTGCAACACCGTAGCCGGCTCCCAGCCCTGCTGCAGGGAGAGCACTAAGTCCCAGCAGGCTGCACATGGTCCGCTCCTCCCGTGCTCCCCCCAACAAACTCCACGTTGCTTCGCTCGAGCAGCAGCACAAAAAGCCAGGGTTTGAGTTGGTGTCGCGGCGCTGCCGGAGCCGCTGGCAATCAGCTTGCTGAAAGCTGCCAAGCAGCGAGCGCTGAGCTTACGGGCAGCGCAGTGGGCTCTGGGTCGCCTGTCCTAGGAAAGAAGCCATTTCAGTGCTCGGCGCAAGAGGAGTCTGCACTAAACCCCTGAGCAGAGAGAAAGAGTGCCAGGTGGGATAAATTATGCTAGTTAGGTCTTAAAGTTTAAATCTCGAAGGCTAAAAGTCAGCTGGGTTATAAAGAGCCTTCCAAGGCCAGAAGCTACGTTAAATAAACGTACCAAACCTATAGCGTAGGGAATATATAATTCTCAGTATGGTCAGGCAGAATCCACGGTAAATCTCTCAAGAGGAAAACGACAGCAGCAGGCTGTAGGTTTGACTTCTAACACGTGCTCCATGCGCACAAAGGCCCTCCTTGGCTAATTTGGGTTATCCACCCGAATTTACCCAGGCCGTTATCCAGCTCTAGCTCAATAATTCTTTTCCTGCCCTTCCCCTGTTGGGGCCAGGCTCAAACCCCACTGAAAGCCGCTGGCTGTACCCTAAACTGCAAACCGGAGGCGACGGGAGACGAGATTTGAAATGCTCTGAGCTGAGCATCACCCTGGTTCTTCCACGTTCAAGGGGCTGGCGATACGTCTGCGCTGAACTCGGCACGACTGAGCTTCCCTCAAGCTGCGGGCGAAGGTGACGTTACAAGAATTTGTCACGACGGGACAGCCAAGTCGGCACGTCAGCCGCGTACCAGTTGCTGGGCTTGCACGACTATGCCTCGCTACAAAAGGCAGCAGAGTCCGAGTTGCTTTGCTCTTGTGCTTCTTGTGCCACTCACTGAGTGGCAGGAGCCCCCACCCCAGGCCTCTCGGCTCGCTTCCTCTCTCTAAAACTTGTTTTGGCCAAACTCCCTCTGAGCCAACCGTGGGGAAAAGGGCTGTTTTCCCCAATCCTGGCTCGTTACTGAATGAACTGGGATCCTGACCTCACGATCGCCAGCTCGAGGCCCTTCCAAAAGTCCCAAACTGGGGCAAACCAGTTTTGGCACCAGTTTTTAACCAAATCCCATGAACAGAAGCTGGAGCCCCCCAACTTCAAAAGAAGAATAAACCACATCTTCAGCAAAAGCTTCCTTCTCCCGCTGTGCTCTCCTCCAGGCTCACTGTCCTGCCTCCAGATTTCATTTGCCTGCCCTGCGTCATCCCTGCGAGATTTTTATTCTGTAGGGCTTTCTAGTAGGCTGCGTCCCCAGATTTCTCCCCATCGTTTGAAGTCATCTGGCCCTGCTTCTCTTCCAGCCTTGCTCCCATTCACAACCCACCTACACGCACGTGACAGATGTGGTCAGCCCAGCCCTCCTTGTTCCCAGCTGCTCCTACATCAAACCATAGCTTTTTTTTTTTTGCAGTGAAAATCTCAGACACCCTTAGGAGCAGCCGGAGACCCGAGGGAGCCAGTGCGAAGAGATGTGGCTGAGCTCTGGTGACCTCGGAGCTGCTGCGTGGGCCTCCGTCTGGAAACAGAGGGGTGCCGCAGGTGTAAAGCTGAAGAGCTCGTGCAGAAACGACGGCAGCATACCTGTCAACAACGAGATTCCCGTCGTTCGTCCGCACTGCCGTCCACATGTCCCAGTACTCTGCCTGCGAAGGCTGCGTGTACGGCCCAAAGACCGCGCCGAGCCTGGAAAGAAATCAGAGCAGCATGAGCAACCCTGAGAGCAGGACGTCCACTCTCAGACAGGCAAGGGGCAGACAGCAGTGCTAACACAAGACTCAAAAACTGAGGGCAAAAAGGACTTGAGCACCTCCAGATTGCACTGCAAAGCATTTGTGCCTGCGTGTAGCATTGCAAAACATCCTCCAAACACACCCTGCGTTGGACTCGGCCACCATCCTAAAGGGCTTTTGGGAGAAGAAGGGAGTTTGCAACATCTAATAAAAATATGTATTTAATTATGCACCACATGTAGAGCGCAGTTAGAGTTTTCATGGCCTCAGTACTACGTGCAATTCCAGTATGCATGGAAGAGAAAGATTTTGGTGTACAAGGCACATATGAAAACCCATAGGGTTTATTACGTTTAAGCGTTTCGCTACCATGGAGAATGGCTGGGAGGACTGAGGTCATTCAAAATCTGGTGCAAATCTTTCCTGGGACCACGCCCAAGCCTGGGACATTCACTGGCAAATTTGGCTCTGGGAGGCCACGATTTCATTTCTGCTGTTTAAATCGTGAGTTTTCACAACTCCCAGTGATGGCAACCGGGTTCCCTTTCCGGTTGCCTCTGGCAAGAAGTAACCGAAGTTGCTCAAGGAAACAGTATTCCTCGTCAGCCACCCTGCAAGGAGCACGTCCGTAAGGAACCCACGCCGCCTGGACGCGCGACGAGCACTAAGAGGAATCCACTCACCTGCCAAATACCCACGCCACAAACGAGTATCTGTGGGAGCCCACTAACTGCGCACCCTGTGCTCGGCGGCCGCGAGCGCAGGGTGCCTGCGGGGACGCGCGAGCACCCCTGCAGTCAGTCCGTCCACCCGTTTCTCAGGACAGAGGTCCCGGATGCAGAGCAGCGCTGAGACCCGACTCACCCTCTGGAGAAGAAGAAGAAGTTCATCAGCCGCATGATGATGAGGGACAGGAAACCGCCGTCCTTGAGAATCTCGGGCAGAAAGGAGAAAGCACCATGAAGTATCCCATCCTGCCTGTCCGAAGGGCTTTTCTTTCCAAAAAGGCAGGTTCCCCATATTGCAGCAGTTTCACGGGACGGAGCAGTTTCCCTACGTTACCTGCCTACCTAGCATAGCTACGCCGTCTTGTCCCAGGCTTTTACTATACAGCACAGTGCTGTCCCCTGAGCTGTTTGCATCACCTTCGTTGTCCAACGTACGCAGATGTGAGAGGCATTCGGGCCACGATGGGAGGAGAGTCCCAGCTGCTCACGCACCGGCAGCCCCCGGGGAGGGTGGCAGCCGTCGCTGGTGGCCATGAGCCGGGGCTGAGATGGCTAAATCAGTATCTAGAGAGCGAGGAGGAATCAGTTTGCCCAAAGTAGGTAACGCTAAGATGTCCACCAGCTCTTCAGTGGAGAGAAACCAGCACTTGTAGGGGCAATTCCTGACCTCGTCGGGACATGGGAGGAGGCACATTCGCTCCTCCTTGTTCACGCTTTCTCCTTCCAGCTACTGCAACAAGAGAGTCACGATTTCCCTACCCCAGCCCAAGCTCTGGCTGCTCTTCCCCTCTTCTAATCACCGCATTTGAGTCCTCCTCACTGCACACCTCTGGGCCTGTCTCCGCTGTTGCTCCTAAAGCACCAGGAAAGGGAAGCGAATTTGGTCCTCAGCCATTTCACCCCGGTTTTGGAATAACAGTGAAGACTGGTAAAGGTCTGAGCAGCACCAAGGGTGTCGGACTTAGGCCTTGGCAAGCCACAGCCTAAAGAAAGCCGCAGATGGGGTTTTAGCACCCAGGAGGCTTTTAGAGCAGATTAAGCCTGTGCTAAAGGTCTGCATATGCAGATCTCTGCTCGAGCGGTGATTCAGTAAGACTAGAAACAGCAGCAGCTCACCTTCTGAATGAATCTGGGGTAGTGCGTTTCCGGGAAAATTCCTGGAAGAAAGAGAATAGGTAGTTGTAAAACAACCATTGGTTTGCTCTACATTTCCCAGTCGCTCCCCTTCTTTCCGCGTCGCGATCCCGGTGAAACCACTCGCAGCCAGCAACGCAGCAGCACCTGGTGTTGACAAGGCTCAGTTCGAGCCTGTTTCAATTTCAAATACTTGGAAGTATTTGCAGGGCACGGAAGGAGATGCCAACGCTGGAGGCACCGACGTGGGCAGGCACGCAGCCTTGCAGGGGCTCGTCGTAAACGCGCCGGTCAGGACGAAGCAAAGCGCAATGCCGTAGGCCATCAGGTGCGATATAAAGTATTGGGCAGCAGCGCTAGTCAGAGTTTTCACGCGTTCCTGTGCTGAGGGACGTGCTGAGAACCAGAGTCAGAAACTTAGCGGAGCAGGGGAAAAGCGGGGGAGTATTTTTAATCCAGATGAAGGCCTTGATCCAATTCCCTAGTGCAGCCCCCCACCAAACACCTGCGCCAGCACAACCGAAGGGGAAGGAAATCTAAACGCGGGCGCTGCCGCACGATGCCGCTTTGCGGCGTGGAGCTGTAGGGAAGGCTGCTGCCGTTCCGGGCTTCGCCGGAGCCAGCGGGCAACCGCTACCAGCGAGACGTTGCAGGGAGTCGAGTTCGCCAGCCCAGTTTACCAGCCAGCTTTGAAATAAGCCTGGCCCCTCTTCCCCGGCGCTGGTGCCGCAAACGGCACAGCCCTGGGACCGCAGCTCCCTCTTAACTGGAGGAGCTCCAGGGGAATTTGCTTTCTGGATGCTGTCCATACAGTTTGGCTTTGGCGCTGCTGTTTATCCCAGGCAGCAACACGTGCAGGCATTAGAAATGCTCCTTCCGCTCTGCAGAGCTACAAATATCAGCCATCGCCTGGGCTCGTGCTTCCAAGGAGGGATAAGCAGCAGCAGCACGGGCAAACGTTACCTCCGTTGGATAAGCAGAGGCTGTTGATCAAGATGCTTCCGGTTTCGTTGTGTTCATACCTGGAAAGGGAAGAAAAGAAGATGAAGCAAAACTAGACCCTCTCCAGCTTCCGAGAAGCGACCGAGCAGCAGGTCGTATTAACGTCAGCTTGTGAAAAGCTAAAATCCAGGCGGAAGTAACCCCGAGACGCGGCTGCGGCAACGCACAGGAACAGGCGCGCAACTTCCCTCCCCAGCTCGAATTGCCGTTCTGAAAATATATATCCTTCCTGGATGCTTTATGAAGCAGCCTTTACGAACCCCTTCCACCCCGATAAACCTCCAAGGCAGAGAAGGCCGCCGAGCAAACAGCGAGGCGGCACCCGTCTCGTATCTGCCAATGTATCTCCCGGCAAAGCTGGCGGCAGACCTACCTAGGTCTTTATGGCACGGTTCGCCCCAGCACAAGACGTTACCTCGTTGCGTCCTTCGTTACAGGGGAAAAGGTGGATTCTGCGCTACGTACTCGTGCTTATCTGCGGGGAATTATCCGCGCGGAGACCGTAAAGAGCAGCTGCAATGACCTGTGGAGCAGCTCCTGCGCGACCGTGTCCCCGTAGTCATGGGACAGGAGGTTAATCCTCTGGTGGTGGAGGCCGAGGTGGTGCACCAGCCCCTCGACGATGCTGGCTTGCTCGAAGATGGAGTAGCGGTGGGGCCTCTGCGCGGGGAGCAAAGCGAGAGAGCGGCCACGATGAGGGCCTGGCCCGCCGCCCTGGGCCAAAAGGAGCTGCCAAAAAAAACCAAAATCGGCCTTCGAGGCTACTTACGGGCTTGTCGCTGAAACCGAACCCCATGAAATCCAGAGCGATCACCCGGTGAAATCGCTGGGTCAGCCCATCCCAAATCTGAAAGGAAGAGAACCGCATCCAGAAACGGGTGACGGGAGAGGAGAGAGCCCAAGAGCCCCTTGCAGCGCAAAGCGGCCGGCGGGAGGTTTAAATTTCGCCACAAGCAGCAAGATCGCCGCGGTAAAACCGCAAAAAACAGGCTGAACGGCTGCGAGTCCTTTCCGTCGGAGCGGGGTCGGAGCACGGAGAAGCGCGAGGCGGTAGGAGCTCGGCTCCCAGCGGAGCCACGAAACGGGACGGAGGAGAGCGTGGTTGGTGCCCAGGAGCTCCATCCCCACCTGGACTTGGCGGTTCGTCCTCCCGTCCCTACTCCAGGACTGACCCCCCCCCCCCCCGCC